CAAATATAAGAAAGAAGGCTGACAAATGCTTATAGGTTAAAAGCTAAGGACTCAAGAGATTTCTACTTACTTCACATATGTTGGCTTCCCATGAAAGTTCGGTTTTCTKCGTGATCTCATCTGGATTCCCCGGTACCTCTCCGCGGCAATTGCTGCTATACTCCAAATCGAMGCGCCATGAAAAACTTCCGTAAAGGGATAAAAGTAATGGCAGAAGACCGATCCCAAAGGCCAGTTATTTGGCATTTGTTCCTTGATAATTGCGATGGAAAAACTGAGGGAAAGAACTCCCATATCAGCCAGGGCTAAGTTACGAATGTAATAAGCCACWGGGGAACGAGTACTGCGATCAAACACTTGAATGCTTACCCATAAGTTCCCAAAAAATCCAAGAATCGCCAGAAAACTGACGAGAAAGAGACGGAAGAGTCGCACGGAATGYGGCTCGTTGACATACAAATACACATCCGAAGTAAAGCTACGATTCCCAGTTTGATTTTGAAGTAAWGTTGTCTCAAACGTGCTGTTCATGGTTGTCGCGTGTGTGACAATGACAGTTGTAACTAGTAATCCAATTTCGGTTTTGGCAACCAAAGAAAACGTYGCAAACAGTTGAACGCCTACTCTGRTTTTACYACAAGGCATCAAATAGCCCCCAAGRCATTTTCAGCACCMATCTACAGAGCAGAGAACTGARASTAATCAAATGTCGTCCGCTTGGATTTAAAGCTCATGCTCAAGGGATGATGATGAGCTCSATTTTGACGTTGCTATGACAGATCAGTTTTCTGATGACCAAACGTCTAAATCAGCTGTTGACTTCTAACCCAGAAAACCCCACAAATAATGTTAATAATAATAATAATTGCTGTTTTTATCGTTTTCGTTAACCACTTGCGGCTTACACCAGACATGAGAGAGACTATATCCCTTTGGGATATAAATTACCTAGATCACTCATTAAACTCTCCTTCCAATTTGTCAGTCCTGGCTTCATGTTTTCATCCAATCACTCAAGTGGTTTCCCGCGAAGTGTCACTTTTTCAGAGTATCTCAATATGTTTGTCTGAGGTACATACATATTTTATAAGGCGTTCATAATCAGTTTAATCAGGTGCCAACATCAAAACAATCTTATATAGCATTGATGACTATTCCATCTACATCAAAAATAAAAAGAATTATTGCATGTACAAATGATTATTGTAAAGTCTATACGAGATCGCTATCACATTCAGTTTCAAAATAATGCACTGCTTCCTAAACGCATGCAACAATTGTCTAGTCTAGTTTGAGCAAAGAGTTCTGGAATCGACAGCGATGCTTGAGACTTGTAATTCAACACTAAGTTCTTTACATTGGTCTTTGCTTAAAGGAGCAACGGAATCAAATTCGAGCACCGTAGCGGATCGATGAAACCACAATTTGTGAAGACGATCCCAGTAAAAAATAGAACCCCCCTTCGGTGAAGCTGATCATCACCACAGTTTTTCTGCTCAGTGCACCATTTTTCAAACCCCACCATTGTGAGAATAAAAGTGGCTAACAAGAAGCAAGTAGAAATGAAGGCGAAGTTTAATTGCGCGCTACGAGGCACCTTTCTTTCCACACATCAAGAAATACGACCAGCCGACAGCAATTTCTAATTAATATTACTATTAGTTCGGCACATTAAAATTTAAAAACCAGCTTGACTCAAACCCCACTGAAAGGCGAAGATGGTACGTAATTGAAAGGGATTTTTTTTCTGAAATTAAGAAACTCCTAAATAGCTTCATTCGAAGGATGCGAAAAAAGGATAATTTTAGGAAAGGGCATGAAATGAAAAATTACAGCCATTGTGATCAAAGATATCATATTAGGTTGTCTATCTGTACTAAAGTAATTAGTGTTTGATGAAGACGGATTCAAAGGTTCAAAGGCTCATTTATTACCACACACAGAAAAAGAAAGTAAACTGTAAATTACAAAATATATATATATATAAATGTGGAGGATGTAAAAGAAAAATTCAATGGGTTAAACTAAGCTCTTGCAACCTYATAACACGAAAGATGATATTTACATTAAAGAAAAGAAAAACTCGTGGCTCCAAATTGTCTCATTAAAACAGTATTTTAAAAAAACAATCCCTTATTTGATCGTGTCTTTAACATAAGAATAGTATGCATTTGGTAAGCCATCACTGTACTCGGAAGGCTTATGTCACCTCAACGAAAAACATTTTATTATTCGACCTTTATTGGAGTATCCACGCATGCTGAGAGCTTTTAGCTACACTTCAGTAATCTTGTAGTGTATTTGATATTTTTTTAAATTTTTACCAACGAGAAGATTGTATTTTCTTGTGAAGGACTTTGAGTTAAAAGCGAAACGTTTTTGATCGGCATCTGGAGTCAARATAAGTGTTTATATACTCGACAGCTCTGATAGCGTATCAGGAGACTTTATGGCACTCAATKTCGACGAGACAGAAATAAAAAAAAAATGGCTGAGATCAACTCCAAGATTTAATATATATATATATATAAAGGTTGTGATCTTTGCGTCTGGAAATTAAAATTTATAAATGAAACATATGGAAACCTAAAATATTGTTAAAAATGTCACAAACTACAACAAAAAAGGCAAAACCTTAAGGGGAATTCTAARACATTGTACAGCATTTTTTAGATGTAAGTTGTGATTTTTTGCGTCGGAAAATTAAAATCAACTAAATTAAAGAAAAAATGTATTTCTATTTTTTAGTAAATTTTTCAATTAAAATTCTGACTTTTAGGCCTGAAAAATAATGAAATATTAATGCATAATAAATTTGTCCACTCCTTCATTATTTAGAAAGTAATAAGTACTACCTCGCTTGCTCTTTCGTACGTAGAAGATTTGACAAATGYTTCCTTGTTATCTTGATTGAGATCTCACTCAGTCACGTGGTTCGTAACTGATGTCAATAACCGACAATTCAACACTTCGGCGCTAGCTGTCACGTGGTATAAATCGTGTTGGATTGTGTAACGGTCACCAAARAGGCCGGACATTGTTCTTCGGATTTCTCTTACAAATTTCCCTGCTAGCAGAGCCTATTTTCCTTTTGTTTTGGTTGAGAGAGAAAAATAGACTCTGCCGATGTAGGACGTTATTTCTGTCACGCATGCGTGGCGTAACTTAGCAACGCTGTCATGATTTTGACAGCCGCTCTCGTCAAACAATGTTTGGCGCCACGGTGTGTTACATTTGCTCATGCGCACTACATGTAATCGGTAAAAAAACGGTTTTAAAACTGGTTTTGTTTGTCCTCAATCGTGGACGGCGGTGTATCAAAGGAAACACTCTACATCGGCAGAGTCTCCTTCCTCCCCGCCTGAAAGAAGGAAGAGAAAGAGAAGAGAGACTCTGCTAGTAGGGAACTTACAAATGCACTGACTTTTGAACAAATTATTTACTTGGTTCATTATCTTTTTCTCTAAATAGCAGTAAGAAAAGCTTCAATCAAGTTTTGAAAATAGCGCAGCGCAACCGTGACGTCATAAAAACGAAGACAAAGGCGAAATTCGGACAAACAAACTTACAAGTTTACTTTCAGCAGATAATTTTCACAGCCGATCGCAGTTGATCTTAGTTTACATGGGTTGTTATTGTAACTTTAAGTAAAAATAATAAAATCGGTTCGTATATAATCCTCGTAGCGGTTAAACAGAATGCAATGTTTGTCCGAATCTTTAAGCTATTTTTAGAATCAGTGTGCTACGCTATTGATATCCGAGAACAACATGGTGTGTTTAAAACTGGAAAACRATCTGAGTAAACTAGTGCAATTTCAGGAATCAATACAGAGACAAGATCTATAGAACAAAGAATCCGGCCAGATCAAAATCTGAGCCTTGTAATAAAGATTAACATCAGCCAATACGGGAGACGTTCGTTAATTAAAAAATTCGGGGGATGGAGATTAAGGTAGAAAAGAAAAGGAAGGAAGGAAGATCTAATATAAGATCTAAAAYACAACATTAAAATCATTAGACCTTTCTCGAATTCTCTTGAGTGTCCACGAAACAATGCCTGTTGCGGTGATAATGAATACATTAGATAGGTCTATGGATTTTTATCTTTTGCAAATGTACTTTAAAAATATGAAATTTAAACTAGGCAGTCGGAGGAAAACTGAAGACAACAATAATGTAYGAGTCTGTTTAGTTTTAGTGTTGTGAGATGAAGGCGATTGTCTAGTTTAAAATTCATGCGACAAAATGTCTTCCGCGTGAAACCTCAGCAGATAAAACAGTTATTAAGATTTTAATATCTCGTTAAACGTTTGGAGACAAGTTAAGTGCATGCGCAGTCACCAAAGATGCCGACGCCAAGATGTCTGAAATGTTATAACTCGTCCATTGATTAAAGATTTTGTTAAGACGTGTGGGATGCTATCTGTAAATCTATTTAACATGGCGGCTATGACGTCATATACACGCCCAAAATAAGACAAAGTTGTTCTAATAATTTTTAACGCGTGCTTTCTAAAGCCCTTCAAACAACTTAAAATTTGAGCACCTAGCCTTTTCCTCTGGCGATTTGTCAATAGTAATCRAAGTATAGACAAACACTTCTGATATTCGTATCCGATTAAAAGCCAAAAAATCAGTTTACGCCCAATAAATCCCCCAAGGGTGATTCTTAAGCAATCAGTCTGTGCACTCAGCCAATATAGAGTTAGTTTAGACCAAAATAACGTAAAACAAACTATAATATATTTATAGACTTGGCTTTAAATTATCTCCGCTAATTGCAAGTTACAGAACTTAGAAGATCTTGATAAGGAGATCAGTTAGAATGTTAAWGTGACAACCAAAATCTCTTTGCTCGGCTGGAACCAATCAAAAAGCGAGGAAATTCAATGATGTCAGCCAATCAGGAGTGCTTGAATATGAAAGCCATTTTAATGCCGGTCGCGATGCAAAATTTCTCATCATCATCGTGCAAGAAATCTTGCCCCGAATGGTGCGTTACCTAACAAAATTGACATTTCCCCCCAAATTCRATACCGAAGTTTAGTATAAATCATTTTGCGTTTTCTATTCAGTAAAATATTTTTCGACCATCATGAATAAATTGGGAAGTTAGATCCACGAATGTTTGTAATCCTGCTACAATAAGATGCGCAAAATTGCTGAAAAAAGGCCGTGAAGCAAGCTTTGAATGAATGGCAATTAGATGAAAAATGTTCCCATTTCGAATRAGTCTTAATGACTGACTTCATCTCATCTCACCTCAGCCTCCTACCTTACACACGCAAGCATACTTTCTTCAGATCTGTCTGAGGGACAACTTCAATATATCTACATATAATACACCTGCTTGCAAGAACGTTGTCATACGAAAATAGAACATTAGTGATTTAGTGGGATAGGAATTATATTAAAAAACAAAAGAAGATCACTGAAGCTGAATTTTTTAATTTATTAGCTTTTCCCCATGAGGGCAGGGACAACACAATAGCTTTTATGCCAATTACAGTGGGCACAGTAGAGGTTTTTAGCACGGGCACTGAAGATGGTCGTCACCAGCGTCTTCATTGTATCTTTTACGTCCGCCTTATACAGGGTTATATAATGAAGACAGACGGGGCCTACGGTTTTAAGTCCTTGTCCGAGAAGACTTGAAGGTCTAACCATTTGCAGATATAATTACAAAGGCAGCACCWTCTCCTCAGTTATTTTAAGACCCTGAGTGTTTGTCCGGCCGAGGCTTGAACCACGACCTCCCGCACAACAGACCAACTGAGCTAATCGGGTCGCGTTTTTTTCTTTTGTCTTTTAATGAATTCCTTTCTCACTAAATTACAAATGTTCTATCACTTGTATGATAACCTTCTTGCAAGTAGGTGTATATGAGAAAAAAGAAAAGTTCCAAAAATTTTGGATTTTGGCATTCCACTTTATCGGTTTTGTCGACAATGTAAACGAGTCTATGAGTGTGAAAATCTTCAAATCGAGCTTATCGTATTGTGAGATTTTGAGATAACGTTAGAAGTCTTAACCCGCTTAAGATGAGAGCTTATACAGCAAATTTTCGTAAATGAAAATAAGTCTTAGAATCATTTATCTAGGAATATCAGAGTCACGTTTGCTCCGCGTAGTTCAAGATGCAAATGCAAAATATTACAAATGAAAAAACGTGAAATACGACAAAAATTATCCACTAGAATAAAGAATAAGAAAGAAGAAAACATAAAGTTTTAAGAAATATAAAGATATCATGCAAATCGTGAAAGAAAACTGAATACGATGAAATTTTTCATTTTCAAAAAAATCCTGATAAATGACTACACACTGTTTACCCTCCAAGCCGGCCGTTTCTAACTACGATCATAGTATAGCTCGCTAACGAAAGAGCAGCTGTTTTACATGCTGTCAGATTTTAACGAGTCGTAATAAATGCTACTATTATCGATATCGAAAAGAGAAAATTAGTTTGGCGGATTGCGTCATTTGTGACCTCTTGAGAACTGAAAATGAACCTCTTGYGTATCATATACTTGGTTGATTTGATTAAGCTGCCAATACTATTTAGTTAAACACTCAAGATTGATTTCCCTCTAGGAATAACAGTTCTCTAAAAAGGCAAACGTTACATRAAATTTAAAATTTTCAGCAAAGTTCAGAATAAATCGTCTCTGGTTTATGCGGGTAATTCCCATTAGTTAAGGAGTTAAGAAATTTTTAGTTTTTGCCTAAGTTAAAAAGAGCTTCTGTACATTGAGATTTCTATATTTTTCGTGAATTCCCTTGATTTCTGGCTTATGAACAAAAAAACAAAAAACAACAACAACAAAAASAAACAAAAACAAAAAACAAACAAACAAACAAACAAAAACGGGGGGGAAACGAATTAGAAATACCGATTACCAATAATATCAACGACAGAAACYGCAATGAAGGTAGCAGTAGCAGCAACGACAACAAAAATATAAAATAGTATTAAGTAAAAATACACAGGTGATTATTGAAAATCTCGCGCGCTGATTGGTCGAGAAATTCGATCACACTATCACACGATAATCACCTCCAGCGATAATCCTAAATGGCGGCCAGCCGCTTTGTTGCTGTTACCGGAAAAAAATGTCTTTTATCTTCTTTTTTTTTCCTTTTTTTTAAAGAATCACCTGTGTATTTATGCTAACACAATTATTCGCCGAAGGCGAAGTGATTATCGGAGAATATTTACCTCGCGTCTCGGTAAATATTCCCCGATATTCACTTCGCCTTCGGCGAATAATTGTTAAATATTATGTAAATAAACTGATAAATAATACCAACAAAAATGTAATTGTACCAACATTAGAGATAATTTTCAGCTGATCACAGTGTATAATCGAAGTCCAATCCATCACAAC